GAAGCAGTTGTGCGAGGACGACGGAAGGGATTGTCGTCGTGTCCTCGTTTGTCGCAGCTGGATTAGTCTGCGCTTCAGCCGTCAGATTCGTCTGACCTCCAGATCCTCCGGCCATTCTCACACGTGAGCGTGTGCCGGACGCCACTTTCCGTTCGCCGAATATTTCGGTGGTGGCGGTGCGAAGGATGTTGGAATCAAAAAGTTGATCACCCTCAGGATCACCTCAGGAAGGTTCGCACAGTCCTAGTCTAGTGGTGGTGGGCCCTTGACCTCAATAACAGAGTGAATGTAAATGCTTGAGATGATTAATAACATGCAGTACAAGGAGTATAAATATGAGTACAGGGGAATTCGAAACGACCTAACTAGCCATGTACTCTAAGGGGTACATTCCCTTATTACAGCGAAATCCAACCGTGCGACTCCGGGTGGTTACGAAACTGTTCGGGCAGAATCCGCGCCACTGCTGCTGCCTGATGCTGTCTGCCCGACGGTCCAGATGCTCCTCGTAACCGCCTGTCCCTTCGCATTTCTTCTGTCTTTTCGTCTTCGCTCTCGATAGTGCGTGCTTCGGCTGTGCTACGGTGAGGAGTGCTCAATAGTGTTTCCACTAACCACTATTCGTAACACACCCTTTCATGCAGTGTATGGAATTCCTAGTTGAGTCGTTGCTTGAATGCAATTTAGTCTCCGTGGTACCGTTGTCATTTGTAGAAATGAAGTCGTCTTCATAAAAAAAAATCGGTGAGATAGTGTGCATAACAAACCCCACGTCAGCAATTGCTCCTGGCATTGGAAGCTGGACATGGTGCGCTCACCAGATGTTGCCGTTACGTACCGATCTGTCCGCCTGCGGGGCTGGAATGTCAAATGTGGAGCGGAGGTGTCGTTGGATGGCTGCTTTCTGTGTGGAGCTCGGTTTGGTGCATGCTATGCTGGCCGAAGTCCGTACAAACTTGGATACTTGCGTGAACGCTTTTGCGATGTTGTCAGGGCGGGTGACATGACATGCCCTTACTGTACGGACTATGTACGGCTTTCCCTCCAGACAGAGTCCAGCCAGGCGACTGCACAACACACCGACCGTTCCCTATTTGAGCGCGAAAAAAATAAGTTGCGATGGGATTCGCAACGGACAATGGCCCAGTAATCAGAAACAAATTTGGAATTCCCATGTCAAGTCTCCGATGAGCCTCATCTGAAATAGCATCTGATCTGAGGCAGGGAACATTGTTGCAAAGCAGGCACAAGTGGTACCTACGAAGTCATACCACGCAAACAAGTGGACTGCTTCCAGCTTTTGTGGAAAGCTTCTCCCTGCCCAGATAGCTTTCCTTCCTTTCCTGGAATAATTTCCCGCATCGTGGACATTGGCGAACTTGCGGGCGGCACCATAGCCTTCATCCATCGAATCTGCAGGATAACATATTCCAGCTAGCCTCGTCCCTACGAGGCTCGGTCTCTCTTCTGGACGCAAATCTGAACAGGAAGAGTACGAATGGAAGCCTCCATACGGATGTCCGTACACTGCGGTCGTCTTATTAGGGAAGATTATGTACGAACGAAACAAGCTCACGGTTCCGCCGCGTCCATTTCATCGTCAACAAATCGTCTCTCGTTGGTGCTTCCAGCCAAGCTCACCGCCGAGACGAGTCGCCTGCCCTGCCATAACCAGCTCTCCGAACCTTTGTCCCCTTCTTCCCCGTCTCGCTCCAAATGTCAGGAGGAGGACCCTGCTGTCTTTGCTGAACTCAATAACCAGTTTTACATCAGTTTACAGCTACGTGTTAGAAGTGTACACCGGCTGCAGCCTCTCATCTCATTCTGTACCTCGCCCTCCCTGTGAATCTCTCAATCTGCGCTAAAATCAGTCTGGCTCTGAGGCTTGCGCGACTCGACAATCCCGAGGCCTGCATTCAATAGACGTTCCGTCGAGCATGATCTTCGACTAAAACGCGACCCGCATGAAAGGCAACAGCCCATACTATCGCACTCTTTTCTGTGAACTCACTGTGACGAGGACGTATCGAGTTGACGTACTCTTTGCCAACCTTGTCACGGCGCCCCTCGAATCCCCTGATCTTCGCCAGATGCCAGGAACAAGAGGGAAAGATGAGTGCGGGCAGAACGAGGTGCATAAACGAACCAAAAGCGAGAGGAGTCTCCATGATACGTTCTTGCCGCGACATTGCCGTGGCGTCTCGTGGGCGCATCGCCATGGTTCCCTGATGTCTGGTGAAATGGAGACATTAAGGGGAGGGACAAAAGGAGCCATGCAAAACGCCACAACGAGTAACTTCGGCGAGAAGACCGATCGCCCGAATACTTGGCTCATCAAGATACGATTGCTTCTGCTTCTCGCTTTAACCATCCTCGTTACACTCGCGGGACACGGCGCTCTCGTCTCGTGGATCGTACAAGCCCGCTCGCTCCTCGCTTCTGGTACTGGAGTGTTTGAGGAAGCCGGAGAAACTGTTCGTAGTATGCCAAGCCTCGATAGTACCTACTCAGGGGTTGCCGACTCGTCGGACGAACAGTTACTCCTCGACAAGATGATCCCGAGGAATCATTCAGAAGCCTTCTCAAGCCGCAAGAAAAGTGAAGGCAGCGCATTCAATGCAAAGACCGCATTTGAATCGCGCGCTGGGTGGTCGCGTCCCGACGTGGTTATCTCGGTTAAGGTGCGACACGAATCGCGACTCGCGTCGCCACCCTTCTACTCACAAATTTCGACTCGTATGTCTAGAGTTGGCTCAATTGGGAAGGGAATCGTTTTGTGTGTTTGTCAATGGCGGTTCTGTTTGGCGAGATGCGGTAACGGCACAAGATTTGAATTGTAACTGCACTGTTGGCGCTTTGGATACTAGAATATTGAGGTTAACAAAGTTTTGTCTCACAATCTGTTTTTTTTTTTTTTTTTTTTTTTTCGCTTGAAATATTTTGTGCAGGGTTCGCTTCATGGACGTCTAGAATCCATCTGCGCAGGATACGCCACCCGTGACCTTCTTGCCATGATCATCATGCAACACACTGGAACAACAGAAGGTTTGCAAACGGGCGATGCAAATGTTAATCAAAGTTTTCCATCAAAAGCACGTCAAATCAATCTGGGATTTCTATGGCTGCCAGATGACGACATGCCTCATACTCTTCTACACGACATCCTTGGATCTTTGCCGTCTACTCGAGCTCCATTAACTGATATACGCGGCGTACAAAAAGAGGGTGTAGTAGATGCCCCTGAAGGAAAGGTGACAACGATGCAGGGTGCGAGCTATCGACGTGAAGTTGGTCTATCAGTTTATGCAAGGGACAATGGAGAAGGGAGGCGTGGGGAAGTGGGTGAAAAGGCAGTGTGGAAGAGGGAGGGGGACCGCAAAGGAGAGGAGCAAGAAGAGAGGATGGCACCCACTGTGCTGCACCGTCAACCTCCATGGCTCGATTCGGAATCCTTTGTTCCAATGGTGCGTCTCCTTTCTCCTCATGCTTGCTCATCTTCTGCCATCCGCATTGCACTCCTCTTCTATTGTTGCACACACAGACAGTCACAACTTGACTAACGCTGCAAACAGTAGATCAAACAGTATAGTTATTTCCGTGCTTTATTTTGTCTCTGCATTCTTTCTGGCCTTCCTTCATGCCGTTGTGTATAGATGCTAAGCTAACTATTTTGGTTTTCCCCTTCTGTTTCAAACTTGCTTCGGAGAGCCGTTACTGAGAGCACTCAAACGCACCTGTTTTCTAGATGCATGTGTTTCTGAGGACATGTGTGTGTATCCATGCTTGCATTTGCATCTGCAGGAATTTTCCTGGCAGGCTTTTCAACCGAAACCAGCTACCACAAGTCCGGCAGGCCCTGCATCCTCCTCCTCCTCCTCTTCCTCCTCACTCAGTGCTCGCCCTATCCACGTGTATGCGTTCGTCGCCTCCTCTCTCACTCCCATTCTTCCTCCCCAACATCCCCTCCTCTCCTCGTCCAATCAGTCTCTCTCCTTCTCCGACCAATCACAGCTGCACACGTCACTGCAGCGCTGCTACAGCCTGCTACAGCCATCTGTGGCAGTCAAGAAGCTCATGGCCAAAGAAAACATGACACGTGTCAGGAAAAGTGTGGGTGTGTATATGGAGCCTGTTCTTCCCTCCTCCTCCTCCTCCTCCTCCTCCTCCTCCTCCTCCTCCTCCTCCTCTTCCTTCTCCATCTTCCTTCCTCCTCCTCCTCCTCCTCCTCCTCCTTCTCCTCTCCATCTCTCTCCTGCCCCCCTTCTCTCATTGTCAACTGCACTGCCCGGCGCCTCATGTGGTTCTTCCTCGGGCAGCCCGAAAAAGATGCTACAGTAGCAGGCTACTGGCCTTCCCAAGCCATAGCAGTCGCCCGATCTTTCCACCCGAACCGCCAGCCGAACCTATTAATCTCCACTTTAAGACGGTCCTTACTATGTAGACCTAACCCGGTCTGGGGAGAGATACCTCCTCCTCCCCTTGTCCCTGCTGCGTTGAGTGTGAGGGAGAGGGAGGAAAGGGGGTGGTGGAAGGGAGTTTTTGGGAGGAGATTGGGGGAAGCATCAAGAGCAGCAGACGAAGGAAGGGAAGCAGAACCATTAAGAGGGGGAGCAGCAGCAGCAAGGGCAAGGCGGCCAAGGGAGCAGTCGATTCTTTGCTCCCAGCTGCAAGCAGCAGAGCTCTTCACGCTCCCAGCAGCACAGGGGCTCATTCACCTGGTGTCCTCGCCACAAGCCGACCTGATAAGAGCACAAGCCGGGGCAAGAGGGGCGGAGGTGGTGATGAGGGAGAGTGGTGTGCCTCCTGAGAGTGTGCCTATGAGAGAATGGAGGAGTGAGAGTGAGCGTGAGAGTGAGAGGGGCCGAGTGAAAGAGAATGTACGGGAGGAGGGGGGGAGAGGGAGTGGGAGGGTGGGAGTGAGAGTGAATGAGAGTGTGGGAGGGGGCTCCCCTGAGGAGGCATTGTTTGAGGAAGAAAGGGCGTTGTGTGAGTCGCCGGTTATGAAGCCCATAACAGAGCACCGGATCGGGAAGGAACTCATTGTGGATGGTAAGTGAGCGGGCAAGCAAGCAAGCAAGTAAGCAAGCAAGCAAGGCTTCTTGTCTATTTTCTAGGCGCCTCGATAAGGGCCTTGTGTGACTAGCACTGCGCTGATGAAGGCTTTGTTGCCGAAACGCGTACGCACGCACATCCCAGGCGATGTTTTGTCTTACCGATTGACTTTCTTCTACTCGCTTTCTTCTCTCCTAGTTGAATCTGGTTAGATCCAGTTAGATCTAGACACGAGCGACCTCAGTTGGCTTGCTGCGATCGAATCCGCCCTTAAACAACGCCTCGATAAGGGCCTTGTGTGACTCACACATACACTGAAGCTAATAACAGAGTGCTCGGGGTCGGGAGGCAGCCCATTGTGGGTGGGTGGTAAGTAAGCAACGCATCTTGTTCCCTCCCCTGTTCACTTCACAGTGATCCGTTTGCCTTCGATTCTAGTGACTTTTGAGTCAGTGTGAACGGTGCTGTTAGTCTCGGATTAAAAGCATTAGCAGCTCTTGTGAATGGTGATTTACGTGCCTTGTCCCCTTTTGAGAATTCTCAAAAGTGACTCCCATGTCTTCCCGCACTCTGCTCTCCTCTGCAATTATTTCATTTCAGCTGTTTTAATCTTCTCTCCTCCCAAGTCCCCTCCTCTCCTATCCTCTCCTCTCCTTTACCTCCCCTCGTCTCATACCTCCCCTGCCTCTTCCCTCGTCCCTCCTCCCAGAGTCCATCGGTCTGCTATACTGCGCCGTCCCCAAAGCCGCTTGCACCAGCTGGAATGCCTGGTTGCGGCAGCAGCACAACGACTCAAGAAGCCAAGTCTCTTTTTGAGGCGCCTCAAAAATAGAAATGAAGGACATGCTTCCCCCCCCCCCCCCCCCCTCACACCCCTCCCCCGTTTCTCCTTCCAGAGTCCCTCGGCCTCCTATACTGCGCCATACCCAAAGCCGCCTGCACCAGCTGGAAAATGTGGTTTCGACAGCAACACAACGACTCAGACGCACACAACCTCCGAACCACGCACCTCCCCGCACGCTCCCGCCTCCCGGTGCTCTGGTTCGGCATGACCGAGCCTGAGGCGATACGTGCGGTGACGCGGCGGGATCTGGTTCGGTTTGTGTTTGTGCGGGATCCGTTCTCGCGGGTGGTGTCTGCTTTTGTGAACAAGCACGTGCAGGCGGAGCAAGGGGGGTGGGGCAAGAGACGGTGGTGGTCCCTGGTGAGTGAGTGAGAGAGTGAGTGGTTGAGTGAGTGAGTGGGTGAGTGGGTGAGTGAGTGAGTGAGTGAGTGAGCGAGCGAGTGAGTGAGTGGGTGAGAGAGCGAGTGAGTGAGTGGGTGAGTGGAAAGGGAGGGGGGCGCAAAAGGAGAGGTAAACTTCGAGCTACTGACTTACTGACTTGCTCACTCCATCCCCTCTGTCCCTCACCCCTCTCTACTGTTCTCCTCTTTCCTCCGTACCTCTGTCCTCAAACCCCTTTGCCCTCAATTCCTTTGTCGTCCATACCTATACCCCCCACCTTTCAGTTGTTCTTCCAGCATCTCTTCTGGACCAGCAACACCACCCACCGCCCCCTACGCTGGAAGGACCTGCTCTCTGCGCACCTCCCCTTTCTCTCTCCTTCCTCCTCCTCCTCCTCCTCCTCCTCCTCCTCCTCCTCCTCCTCCTCCTCCTCCTCCTCCTCCTCCTCCCCATCCTCCTCCCCCCATCCCTCCGCCCCAGCACTCTCTCTCCACACCATGCTGCGCCTGCAAGCGGGGGGAACGCTGTCATTCGAGGAGTTTGTCTCGTTGCTTGAGGCAGCAAGAGAGGCGGATGGAGAGCGGTTGATGGACAATCATATAGCACCGCAGGTGGGTGGGAGAGATACAGATGGTGGGTGGGAGGATGCAGGTGGGTGGGGGCTGCAAGCAGGGGGCAAACTGTCATTCAAGGAGTTCGTGACTTCGGTCGAGGCAGCAAGGGCGGCGGATGGAGAGCGGTTGATGGACAACCATATAGTGCCGCAGGTGGGTGGGAGGCTGCAGGTGGGGGGGAGGCGGCAAGCGGGGCGGGGGGCAATCACATAGTGCCACAGGTGAGTGGTCAGGTGCTTTCTCAAGCATGTCCTCATGTGAGAACTCAAGTGCTTTCGCAAGTGCTACTTCAGGTGCTTTCCCAGGTAATGATGTCCCAGGTGTTTTGGGGGGGTGGTTTCTTGGGGGGTGAACTCCTTTCCATCAAACCCTGTCTCTGTTCCCGTGTCACTGTTCGTCCGACCCTGCCCCCCATCCCCGGCCCCGTAATCCCCCTTATCCTTTCCGCACTCTGCTGCAGTCGCTGCTCTGCGGCCTGAACCACATCAAGTAACACTTTGTGGTTCGCTTTGAGCGCATGCACAAGGATGTGCTGGCGCTGATGGCGCTGCTGGGGAGACAACCCGGGGATGCGTTTGCCTTTGGGAAGAGCGTACACTTCACCAACTCGTCCCACCGGCTTACAGAGATGTTCCGAGACAAGGTGTGTGCGTGAGCAGAATTGCATTCAAAGGTGCCTGTTGAGTCGGCTCAGAAGGGGTCACCTTTGGGAAGAGAATTCACTTCACCGGCTTGCCCCACCGGCTTGCCCCACCGGCTTGCCCCACCGGCTTGCCCCACCGGCTACTGGAGATGTTCCAAATTCCGAGACAAGGTGCGTGTGGTTGTGGGATTCTTTATTAACCAAAGGTGCCTGAATGGGAGAGGAGAGGGCGGTGAGGGTGCAGCGAGTGTTACTCCTCTGACACGCACTCTTCTAATAACCTCCTGCCCATTTTCCTTTTCATTGGAAACGCCTGAAAGACTTACACTGTGTGTTTCTTCTGGTAATTGCAGGAGGCGGGGTGAAGCAAGCTTACGCTATTGACATGCACGCACTCATCCCATACACTCCTGCCGCAATCTTATAACAAAAAACTCACTGTGTGTTTCCTCTGGTGATTGCAGGAGACGTACATGAGGGTGAAGCGAGTGTACTCTATTGACATGCACTCTTCACTCAACAGGATCCACTACGAGCCACCCCCTGAGCTTGCCGCTATGTTTGAAACAGCAAATTAACGTACAGTACAGCTCAATATGAGCTGTATTCCATGGTAGTGTACGTTAGTGTAGTATATTGTACTGTACTCTGCATTGGCTGTGATGAAAACTAGCAAAGTAGCTGCTCTGACTGGTTTTTGTGAACATATTCCATGTATATAAGGGAGCTACTGCATGTGCATATATAAAGAATGAATAAATGTGTAGGTACCGTATCTCCATCAACCGACCACAAACAAACACCTCGTGATCGAACTCGCCAATTCTCTCCTCATGATTCCTGTGAAAACCCGACAAGCCAAGCCAACACTGGAATCTTTGTCACACATATACCCAACATCCCTGCCACACCACCCAACCCAAGCCCCCAGAAGGCTCACCCCTCCCTCATCTTGACTCCTCATACCCATCCTTCAAGCAACCCCCCCCCTTCTTTTGCAGCACTTTAAAAAATCCTTGTCTACTTTGTCTCCTACCCATTCCTCAAGAGACCTCTCCCCACCGCCGCATGCGAACCGTGTTCCCCCCCACGTTCCCCTCACACCACACCACCTGCCATGTGCATGTCAGGCGATTCACAAGGTTCCCACCAGGTCATGTGATGTGAACCACATACCAACCATTCGCACACATGCACACATGCACGCATGGCCACATGCACACATGCACACATGCCCACATGCACACATGCACACATGCACACATGCCCACATGCCCACATGCCCACAGCCTCTCGGCTGCTCCACCAGAAGCATCTCTCTCGCGAGCTCACTCAAAGCCATCCCTGCCCACGTGCCCCTGCCCCCTGCCCCCTGCCCCCCTGCCCCCCTGCCCCACTGCCTCAAGTGAACCGTATCGCAGCCATGTGCCCCATATCCAGCGGCTGCTCCACCAGCAGCATCTCTCTCGCACTCCTGGCGAGCTCCTCGCTCTCCTCCATGAGAGCCTGCATGCTGAACACCAGCGAGTTGAACGACAGCATCGCTGAGTTCCGCACTATGCTCTCCTCCGGGTGCTGCCTCTTACTCGCTATCAGCACGTCCAGTACATGGTTGTACTCGCGCACGAATCCCTCCATTGCTCGCTTCCGCCCCGCCCGCCTGCCCCTTGTGGTGTTGCCGTGTCCTGCTGCCGCCGCATCAGGCGCGTCTAGTACATGGTTGTACTCACGTACGAATCCCTCCATTGCTCGCTTGCGCCCCGCTCGCCTGCCCCTTGTGGTGGTGCCGTGCGCTCCCGCCGCTCTCCTTGTGCCGGTATATGGCATCGATTCACCGCGATGGCGAGTGTTTTGGGTCGCTTCACCCCGGCCACTCCTCCCCTCCTGAGTTGTCGCACCAGGTTCCTCTACGCTCACCCTTACTGTCGAATCCACTACCTGACTGCTCTCTTCCTCTTGCCTCTCACTCACGATTTTCCCCTCACCGCCCTCGACCCTCCGTCCCTCCTCCTCCTCCTCCTCCTCCTCCTCTTCTTCCTCCCTCTCCTCCCTGCTTCCCTCAACCCTCTCCTTCCCTCTTTCCTTCCCGCTCTCCTCACCCCTTTCCTCCGCACTCCCCTCTCCTCTCCCCTCTCCTCTCCGCTCCCCCCTCCCCTCCCCTCTCCCACTCCCCTCCTCTGCCAGCAGCGGCCTAACACTGCCCCCCACCTCATCCCCCATGCCTCCTTGAAACGGCCCCACACGCCAACGCCAGCTGCGGAAACCCACGAAGCTCTGCTGCTGCTGCTGCTGCTGGTGCTGCCGGCGGTGCAGTAAAGGGAGGGCGTGGCGGTGGGGAGTGGGAAGGGCTGGGAGCGGCGGGAGGGATGGGAGGGCGGAGGCGAGGGAGGGAAGCAGCCACTGTATTCTGTGATGGTTGTTAGCAGTGAGACGGGGTTGGGGTTGGGGTTGGGGTTGGATGTTGGTGTGGGTGTTGGTGTTGGTGTGGGTGTCAACATCACCACCTACCGTCCAACGCACCTTTGTCCCTCCTCGCCCACTCAAGCTCCCACTCACACTTCCTGCTGCACCTGCACTCACTCCTGATGCACCTCCTTCTCCTGCCGTCCCTCGCACTGCAACAGGCTCACTCCACCTCCTCCTCACTCTCGTCCTGCCATCCCCTCCAGTTTCTTCTTTCCACTCATCCCCCCCACCACCTGCTTCTCCTGCTTCACCACTGGCTCTGGTGCTTTGATTGCCCCCAAAACTCACTCTCCTGCTCCCACTCCCCCTCCTGCCCCACACTCTACTGCTGCTGCCCTCCTGCCCACCCTGCTGCTGCCACTGTCTCTCCTCCTCATTCTCCTTCTCCTTCCCCTTTTCCTCCTCGTCCACCTCCCCCTCCTTCCCCTCCTTCCTGCTCTTCCTCTCCCCCTCCTCCTCCTCATCTGAATCCCCACTCCCAACCCTCCACACGAGTCTCTTTGCAAGGGCTTCACCCCCCATCCCTTCGCCACTACTCCCTCCCAACCCCAACTCCTTCTCACCCCTCTGCAACCCCTCCTCTTCCTCTGCCTCCTCCCCTCCTCCCTCCCTCTCCATTCTCCTCCCTCGCTCATCCTTCCCATCCCCCCACAACTCTTCCCCATCCCAGCTTCCTTCACTCCCCTCCCGCCTCTCCCCCTCATCCCACTCCCATTCAATATGCTCCCCATCCCCCCCCTCCTCCTCCCACTCCTCCCACTCCTCCTCCCACACCTCTTCTCCCCCCTCACCCCCCCCCACCACACCAGCCCAGCTGCCATGGCCCCACACTAGAGCACGCTCCACGCACCACAGAGCCACCACCATTTCTTCCTCCATCTCCCTCAACGCGCCCCTCAGCGGCTGTACCAGCCGCTCAACCTCCCTGCCTGTCTCGCTAGGTCTCCCGTGCAGCACCTTCACTCCCACTCCCATTCCCGCTCCCGCTCTCGCTCCCGCTCTCGCTCCCGCTCCCCCTCCTGCTCCCACTCCTGGTCCTGCTGGTAAATATCTGCTGGGTGGTGCTGCTGCTGTTGCAATCGGCGCCCCTGCTGCTGCCAAGGGACCCTGCAACGCTGCTGCATCTCCCGTTTGTTCCCCCTCCCTGCTCCTCGTCTCACTGGGACTCCCACTGACCACCTCCGCACCCATCCCTGTGGAACGATCCGCATTTCCCATTTCTGCCCTTCCTCCAATGGCTTCTATGTCTCTTCCCTCCACTTTGCCCCCCACAGCTCCCCCCACTGCGCCCACTCCCCCCTCTGCTCCCACTGAGCCCACTCCCCCCTCTGCTCCCACTGAGCCCACTCCCCCCTCTGCTCCCACTGCGCCCACTCCCCCCTCTGCTCCCACTGAGCCCACTCCCCCCTCTGCTCCCACTGCGCCCACTCCCCCAGTTTCTCCCCCTTCTCCTCCTCCACCCGCCCCTACCTCCACCACCCCACCTTCCCCTCCCCCTCCCCTCCCCGCGCCCATCCCTCGCTCCCTCTCCTCCTCAACAACCCTCCACCCCTCCCTAGAAACCTCCATCTCCCTCTCCCGCCTCTCCTCCCTCTCCCTCCCCTCCACAGACGCAACAGCCCTCAAACTGCAATCCATAAAGTAAAGCAACTGGTGCATCCGCTGCTGACTTGCCAGCAATCTCTTATACGCAGGCTCGGGAAACGGCGCGTGCCAGAGCGCAGGCTCGGCGGTAGCTTCGTCGAGCAGCACCTGCTGCCGAGCCATGCTGGCAGCCACGGCAGCTTGGAGCTCTGCCACTCGTTTCACTGCCCCGGCTTTCTCCCTGCGCCGCCTCTCCTCCCGCTCATGCTCCGTCTCCCTTGCCTTCGCATTGTGAGGGTTATTTGGAGCCTTCTCAAAAGCATTCGCCTGCTCGTGCTCCCTCTCCCTCTCTTGTCTTGACGCCCCTTCCTGCTTTCCTCTCTGCCTCCTCATCCCACGTTCTACCTCCTCCTCCTGCTGCTGCTGTTGCTGCTGCTGCAGCTGTACCGTCTGTCTCTGCTCATTTGAACCCTGCCCTTTCCAAAGCCAAATCCACGGCCAATGCCATTGCCCCTGCTGCTTCCCCTGCCCGCCTCTCCCTGTTCCAGCCATCCACTGCCTCCTCCCTGCAAACCCTCCTCTCCGCTCCCTTTCCCTCCCACTCCTCCTCCTCGCCCTCTGCCTCACCCCCTCCTCTCCCCCTCCCCTCTCACGCCCTAGCAGGTCCGCAGCAGAATCAATCCGCTCCACATCCCCCACCTCCTCCTCCTGCTGCTGCCCCTCCCCGTCCCCACTATCACTCCCCACACACCCTTCCCCATCCCACCCATCCCCATGGGCGGAAGGGATACACACAGACACAGATCCATCCACAGGGTCAACCACAGGCTCACCTCTAGATGCACGCCCAACAGATGCACCCGTAGCGTCTACCACATCTGCCAAAGTCCCCTCTGCTCTATCCACATGAGCCGCATCCGCCCTCCCTCCGTTCGTCTGCACTGCACCGCTTTCTACTCCTCCATCCACCCCCCTTACCTCATCCCCTACCTTCTGAGTCGATTCAAGAGTCACCTCTGCTCGCCCACCTCCTGCCATCCCAATTTGCCGCCGCCCCATGGTAGCACTGGGAATCTGACCCATCTCAACAGACAGGCCAGCTCCTTTGTAACCTGATTCAGGGCCATTCTCGGCCTTTTTTCCTGCTCTCTTCTCGCATCCCTCACTCCCTCCCCTCTCCCTCCTCTCATCATCCCCTCCACTTCCTCTTCTTCCCCCTCCATCTCCCCCTCTCCCTCCCTCTCCTCCTCTGCCACCCTTACCCGTTCCCCCGAACCACCTTCCAAACCACCCTGCCCAGCCCGACTTGCCACCACCATACCTCCCTTTTCCTACCTCCCTACCACCAACCCCCGCACCCGGCCCATCGCCGAACCTCCCGCCGAACCTCCCTCCGAACGTCCCGCCGAAGTAGGACCAGGCAACCGTGGCAGCGCAGACACGGCAGCGGGTGATGTTTGCCACAAGCTCGGCCCGAGCCAGAGCGGCGGCTCGGGTGGGGAAAACGAGAAGCTCAATGAGTATCACAGACACAAGACCAATGCACGTCTCTGTGATTCGTAATAGAGCGTAGTGCTCGACTGTTAAGTCGGAGAGGGAGACAGAGGAGGAGGGAGGGGAGGGCGGCGCGGAGGAGGGAGAAAGGGAAGGAGGAGGAGGAGGGCTGTTGAGAGCCGGATACCCCAGCATGATGATCGCAGCAGTGAATGCAGCAACCACCCCTGCATACCCATACTCTTTACTCGTCCGCACAAACGCAGTCAGAAACACCCACACAGCCAGCGCCGCCAGCAGCAGCGGCATGCGATCCGTAGTTAGAGGAACTAGCAAGTAACCAAACACAGCCCCTGCCACTGTCCCCTGGAGTCTCAGCATAGAAGCTTTGAAAGACCCCCCCTGGTATCCCCCTGAAACGAATGCTACAGTGACTGCCGCCCAGAAGTCGAATGTGGGGGAGACTAGGCCGCCCAGGAGGGCCGATGTGACTATAGCGAGGGTGACTTTGAAGGAGGCGATTGCTCGCGGTAGCGCGTTTTCAGAAGAGAAGGACGCGGAGAGGGAGGTGAGGAGGAAGCGGGCGGCTGAGAGGAGGAGTGAGAGGAGGGAGGAGAGGAGGGAGAGGAGGGCGGAGAGGAACCGAGCAGAAGCTGTGAAGATGCATGCGCGAGGGAACCAAGGTAAGCACGTAGCACCAAGACGATCAAAGCAACGAGTGAGGCCTGTCAGTGTGATTCCTGCCTGTTGTCTCCCCTGAGTGTCCCCCCCTTTCTTTGCTCTGCTCCTCATTCCCCTCGCCTTCTTTCCCCCCTTTGGATCCCTGCCTTCCCCTCCTCCCAACTCTCTTCCCCCCCTCACACCACCCTCCTCATCCCCCCTATCCTCCTCCTCATTTCCCTCGTCCTCCTCCTCCTCCTCCTCCTGCTCCTCCTCCCCCTCTTCCTCCCCACCCACCCCTCCTTGGTCCCCTCCAGCAACCGCTATAGTCACATCGATTAGAGACAATACCTGGGGCAGATACACGTGCTCATGGGACGACCGTCTGGTGAAAGAACTGGTTTCAGAGTGGTGGAGTGCGGTGGAGGAAGCAGACGACCGTCTACTAGCAGAGGTACCAGCAGCACCGCTTAAAGCGTGGGGCAGGGCTGTGGAGGAGTGAGAAGAGCGATTATTAGTAACGCCAGCACCACTTAAAGCGTGGGGTAGGGCCGTGGAGCAGGGGGAGGAACGGTTGCTAGCAGATGGAGGGGTGTTAGTGTTAGCGGTGGGGTGATCGCCCGTGGCAGCAGCAGCATGAGCAGCAGGCAGAATAGGAGGAGAAGGACCAGCAGCAGGGTTGCTGGATTCGACAAGAGTGGAAGCACCAAGAGTGGCAGCAGCAGGGGAGTCTGTAAAGAGTTGCTTTGGTTCTACGCGTGACTGTCTAGCCCTCCCCTCACCGCCTCCCTGCATGCTGTCCCCCACACTGGCACGCTGTATGCTGTCCCGCACGCTAAGACTACCGCGCACAGAGCTGTGCCGGCAGCAGGACGAGGAGCGTGCTTTGGATCCAGACATAGCAGCACCACCATCGGCACCAACACCAGCGGCAGCAGCACCAGCATCACCAGCATCACCAGCATCACCAGCATCACCAGCACCAGCACCAGCACCAGCACCAGCAGCGGCAGCAGCAGCGGCGTTAGCGGAGCGGCAGTGGCGGCAGCAGCAGTCGGAGGCGAGGTGCAGGAGTTGAAGGGTCATCTGGCGCGCGTTGAAGAGGAAGAACTGCGACGCCACCAGGCTCGACGCGTGCGTGCTGCTCACAAACGCCCGCGGGTCGTGCGGCGGGGAGAACGAGGGGGAGTGCGGAGGGGAGTGTGCCGCGGCGAGCAGAGGGGAGTGAGGAGAGGGAGTGTGAGGAGGAGCCGAGTGTGCGGTTGCATGGGGGGTCGCGTGGAGAGAGTTGTGTGCGTGTCCCGGCTCGCTCCTCTCCAACCTAACATCAGATTCATCACTATCATCACTTTCATACAGGCGGTAATACGCGAGCTCTCTGCCTCGTAACAGGGCACTGTCTAGCTGGATCACTGCTTGCACGCCCTCTTGCAACAGCTGCTCCACATGCCCGTGCACACACTGCTGCTGCTGCCACCACCGCCGCCACTGCCCCCACTGCCACCACTTCCGCCCCTGTTTTCTCGATTCAGCACCTGCAGCAGCAGGAACGGCACGTGAGCTCTTCTCCTCCCCCCCTCCCTCTCCCTCTCCCTCACCCTCTCCCTCTCCCGCCCCCTCTCCCTCCCCTCCTCCCGCTCCCCCTCCCCCAAGCGCCTCAGCAGCATGGGTCAAGCACAGTCCCACAGAGCGAGCAAGCAGCACAAGGGGTGGGCGGAGCTCGTGCAGGAGAGCAAGGGGAGACTCTTTGATCTGCCCTGTGTCCAGAGCCATGCGCATGCCATGCAGATGCACGTCCACCGCTTGTAACCCCCGGATAACCCTTCCCCACGCCTCCATTTCGCTCGGGCACCGCATGGCTTTTGCACTAGCAGTCGCACTAGCAGTAGCACTCGCACTTGCATATGTATCAGCACCAGCACCCGCCCCTGCTGCTGCTGCTGCTGCTGCTGCTGCTGCTGCTGCTGCTGCCCCCTCTGCTGCTGCTTCTGGTGATGGTGCTGTTCCTGTCTGTGACTCTCCTGCTTCTCCGGGTCCCTCTCTTTCACCCGTTTGGGAAGCCAAACCGGGAATATGCTGCTGCTGCTTCTGCCTCTCCCCCTGCAACTGCTTCTGCTGCCCCCTCTCCTTCTGTCTCCGTCTCATCTCCACCCCTCTCAACCACACTCGCCACACCCCCCACCGCACCCAAAACCCGCACCTCCTTAACGGATCACCCACCTGCTCCTCCCACCAAATATCCGCCTCCAGAGCTTTTAACGCGGATATATTAGGCTGGGCCGCCCGCGCCAATATACAAACCTGAATCGCTGCTGTTGCCAGCGCCTGAGAATCCACCAGGCAAAACGCCGCAGCGAGAGTGTGGAACTGGGCGGCAGCGCAGCGGGCGGCAAACAGGAGCTTCTGGCGCGCTTGGGAGGAGGCGAGGGCTGGGAAGGGCAGCAGCATGGGGAGGAGGCCGCAGGCTATACCTAGGAGGGCTGTGCAGAGGAAGCGGAGAGGGTATAGCCAGGGTTCAGTTCCAAAGACGTTGCGGGGAGCTGAGGCTGCATCTGGGTAGATTGAATCAGAGCCAACAGCAGAAGCGGCAACAGCGGTAGCTGAAGCGTTGCCAGGGGGAATAGCAGCGGTTTGGAACGGTGCGGGGAGGTTGTCTGCAGAACGAAGGACTGCGGCGAATTGGAGGAGAAGGATGGATAGGATGGCAAGGGCCACCTTGCGAGTGAGTGGCGGGATTATAATGAAGGAGAGAACCGCTGTCGCCAAGGCTAGGGTTACCAGCAGAACCGCCGGGGTCGCCCAGATATTAGAGTAAAGGGCGAAGGAAGAGACGACTGGAAGAGGGAGTGAGGAGGGAGTGGGGGGGGGCAAAGACGGGAACCCTGGGGGTGGGGGAGGGTAGAGCGCGGGGGACGGGGGAGGGGGGGCGGAAAAGGGGGGGGATGGAGCAGGCGGCGGCGGAAGCATGAAGAGGCGGAAGAGGATGGCGGAAGGGATGCTGGAGAGAACCGCGCCTGCTAGAGTGTACGTCGCATTGCGGAGGGATGCGCCTAGGGTTTGGTCCGCGACGAGGATGGCGAGGACGGCGGCGAAGAAGGGCACTGGTAACCACGTCGCGAAGGGTTCGTGCAGGACGAGCACCGCTGCGAGGACCGCGGCGGTGGCCGTGCGAAGGCCGAGGAGACAGCGGCTCCAGAACGCGCGTAGATGCTCTGGAGCGACCATGGCGCGCGCGAAATATTTAAAAAAGCGCCTCAGAAATAGTACGAGATGCGCACGGAAGCTATGATGATGGCAACCATGCCCTCCCTCTGCCGCACGAGATCATCGACAGAGAATCAGGGATCCTCTGACACTGAACTGCTGGCGGCGATCAGTCGCAAGGGCCGTTGATGTGCTATGGAGGATAATGCGCTACGGAGGACGATGTTCTACGGAGGATGATGCGTTGGAGAACTTTGTAACGAAGGGGGGTTTTTACTTGCTGGGTCTTGTGAGGGTGTAGCTTCGAGGCGTCGCGTCACGTGTCGAATGTGATCCGCGTCGAATCCATTTCGGACGGACGTACACAGATGAAGTTTCGCGGGAGCGAGATCTGGAAGTTGCTATTGATTACGACGATGAGGCGCGGTTACTGGAAGGGTGGATGTGGAACGCGAGTGACATCAACGAGTGTCACTAGATGATGAGAATGAATGGGGAGACTGTGAAGGTAACTTGAGCATGATTGTGCAGCTGTGGTTTATTGGATCTCCCTAAGGGGCATATACATGTGCGACCTCAGCGGTTATAGTCAAGTACCAGCTACGGTACTACAGACATACTGAACAGGAAAACCAATCCGTCGTCCTGAAAAACTACGAGCTGCGATGCGATGCGACACTTTGCCCCGCTATTCTTCTCGCCTCGCCATTGAGTGCCCACACTCGGAAAATTGTCACCACAAAAAGGTGGAAAGGTCTAGCCAAGGAGTGAACTGAATCTTCATGGGAACCAAAAAAACCATGGAAAGTGAGGACGATGCCATGTCACTCGACGCCCCGACCACGTCACCTCAAATACCCGCTGCAGAATAGTACAGTTCAAGATGTTGCATGTGTACCGAAGCCTGCAACACAGAGTGAAGCTAAAAGGAAGTAGTGATTCACGTTTTCAATATTCAATGCTTCATTTAGAACCAGTTGAAAGGGTTATATAAGCCCACTCTAAACTGAGGGGGCGCATTCACCCAACCATCGAGACTCACCTGCATAGTAAGGCATCAGCAATACATATGAGAAGCTGACGTGGGGGATGTGCAATTGAACGATCCCATGGATGGCTTCAAACTACATAGAAGGAGCAGGCACCACAGCACAGATCGCCTACTAGAGAGGTTGCTTGAGTACACTGTAGGCATTGGTAGCACTGGTGCTATGGACATTCCTGCAATCACTGTGATAACAAGCAAAAAGTGAAATATTTCCACGGCTACTTCAAAGAGAGTCAGAATATAATATATGAAAGAACAACTGAAATTTCACATGTTGGCTACAACAGCTGTAGATGTGGACGTGCAGTATCTTCCAAGGGAGACGGTGGTGGCGGATATGGAGGTGGTGGCGGAGTTTCGGGTGGGGATGATGACGGAGGCCGTGGCTGAGTGGAACAGTCGCTGAATTCCGTGGCACAGGGTGGCTGATAGCATGGACCCGCAGGCATGCAGCTGTCTAGTGCCAAGAAACCAGGCTCAACCTTAGGCAATGAAATCTTGTTAATTTCGGCATCGGAAATTACCTGGAGCTGTGAGCCTGACTGGTGATGTGGCTGGGAAGTGGGAGGACTTTCAGGAACTGTAGACAATCCTATCTGCAGCCAGTTTGGTGACACCGGACGGCCTGCAAGAATGATGCTCTGTTGCAGTAAGATGGAGCTCGCACACCCAATGCAGGGTCTTGCGCATCCAACAGGCTCAGAGAAGTCTTGTGAGCTGGAAACTTCCAATGTAACCATGTCTTGGTCTTGATTGTGCTGTAAACTGTCCTCGGAACATTCTGACAGCATATCCTGTGCGATTTTCGCTTCTTGAACAAGGTTGCTGCATGTTGAGGGCTTTAACTGGCTCTCCTGACACGAGTTTCTCATAATGACCTCTGAAAATAAGAAACATCATTAGTCAGAAATCGGAGTTTCAGGTGCTTCGCAATTATAGCAGGAATGTACGGTAATAGCTCATGGACATACCCGTTGGAGTGCTATGGTGTGTTGCCAAGTCTGATGACAAGCTACCCTCTGGCGTGCATGAGCTGTACTCTTCCCACAATTGCTTAGTGATCCCGCCACCCACACTGCTCGCTGATTCAGGGACCAACTTTTCCTGAGACGCCAAGAGAATGATAGGCTCTGCGTTTTCCAGAACTGCTTTCACTCCCAGGTCGACTCCATGCGCCTGCACAGAGCCGCATGATTCTTCCCTCTGCAATGCTTCCTGAACAATTTCACGAAGGTATTGGAGGAAGCCTAGGGTCCGGGATAATCCATTCTGATTCAAAGTGTCTGGGCCTGCCTCAGAAAACCCATTGATATCAGGTCTGAATGCATCAGGGTGGTCCTAGGAGAAAGAAATATACGATTCCAAAGCTCACCTGCAAGCGCTCCGGGAGGAAACTCAGACAAATTTCTCAATTTTGGGTCCACGTGCATACTCGCAGCCTGGTTGGCAAAATGCTTTTGCGGATTCAAGGCCTCCCAATGACCTCTCAGCCATTCCTGTGATCGTCGAAGGAACTTCTTATGCACAAACTTGATATCTCCAGGGCCTGCATTTGCGTTATGAGTGAGAAGATGGCGATTAGTCTGCAACTGCTGAATATGAAAATGGTTTACCAAGCAAGTGCACAGCGACAAAGCCATTTGTCCACGAATGAACAGCAATGCCCTCCCACCATCTGTCACACCATCTGACATCCACAACGTCTCCGTCCTCAAAAAAGGCGCCATCGCAATCATGAAGCTGATAAGGTCGAACACAGTTTCGATGTGAATATCTGAAGCCATATTTGTCAGCACCTCCCAGTTGCCTCAGAAGGACCCATTCCTGCAAAAAAAGGCACAGCTTAGCTTGACACTGGAGCACATTCAGAGGCAAACAGTTCCTAATCCTGCCTTACCTCCTTAACTTCGCCGGCAATGCTTCTGGGATTGAAGTAGCGCACTTTGACCTCCAGCGACCTTGAGCAAACGACTTCAGCTGGGCGCCAACACAATCGTGACACGTCATCATTCAGAACCTCAACCATACTCCCCACGGATGTGTCCCATGTTTCTTTTTTTTCCGTCCTAGCAAGCTCTCCAGGCTGATTTTGACCCTCATCCTCAACTCGACCATCAGCTTCGTCAGCATCCATGTCAGAGTCAGATAAATTGAAGGACTGCATAGAAGAGCATTTCACCCCAGGACTGTTTAGGCACGCCAGCGATTTGTGCTTCGGAACCCTCTGCGTCCGCGGTTTCGTCAGTCTCTGGCCAACCTTGCCATTTCGTGACTCAAGCACCTCAGCAGCTTCATCACAGCAAGCATGCACCAGAATACTTTGAGAGTAGTAACCTTGAAAGCTCTCAATCCGAACTCGGCGAATTTTACCCCCATCAACTTTCCGGTAACACATGAAGCAGCTGCTTTTCTCGCGGGAAAGCAGACTAGCTGAGCGCTCGGCAAAGTGCGCTTGGGATAGAACCGTCACCACTCTCTTGACAGCTTCAATTGGAACAGTGTCAGAATTCGACGTAAAAAACAGCTCTTGTTCGTGAGCGTCAGCTACCTCCACACCAAAGAGAGTCTTCAAATCCCTTGGATTCTCAAACCATTGCAGGCTCGCTCTGGGATTGAGGTCTTTCTCGTATATCAGACGTTTGAAAAACGCAATTCTTGTGCGTCCGTTGCACGTCGCCTCCACGAAGCTCCACAACTGAAGACAAACATGATCAAATATGAGAACAGGACTAGCTTTCATATAACGTGCGCGAACAAGCCATATCAAATTTACCGCCACGTCTTCGCTGACTTTTACAGAGCTTTCTTCAGGACTTGAGGAACAGTACGTGGCACAATCGGTTTCATTTGCAGGCTCATCTTTGATAAGCAGGCCGGCATTCTGTACCGACAGGCATCCTGCCTCATATTCATCCTTCGCAGTTAGTCCTGCGGAAAAAAGTGGTCAATGGCAGGTCAAGGACCTTCGGTGTTTTACTGCCTTTCAGAATTCATTCAACTTACTGCGTCGTTTGGAAGGCGGAGTCAAGCGAATCAGGCTTTCAAGCCATCCCTCTAGTTCCCGTCGTGTACGGTACTTGGATTTTGGAACCTTCTTCGCCCCAACAGGGTATCTGAAAGTCTCAGGGATGGTGAAGATCATGTGGCGTACACTGCGCTCAACGCCAACTGCGGCGAGGACTGCAGCACCGTCCACAGTATAGAGCACGAAGTGGAGAAGTCGGTTGCCTCGCGTTAGGCGAACAGGGACCTCCTGCCAGGAGGCATAGTAAGGAGGCCTCCCATCCTCCCTGTCGAGAGCCATCGACAGTTCAACCTCGTCGATTCGTGGCCCTGAGGTCAGGAAGGCCTGAATGATAGACTTTTGCTGGCCTTGGGACCCTGTTGAATGCTGGGTTGCATGGGAGCTCGTCCCTGGATTTTGACGAGCTTGTCCGCAAATTCAACTGTTTGATGCTCTCATCATCCAAAAAGCTGCGCAAAAATCCTTCATGGATAATCCACTACCCTTCATACAGAAACTCGTTATGGTTACCTTCAGAGAGGATAACCTCACACCTTGAGAAATAACTCTGTAAATGCAAAATTGATGGATTAACTGACTACAAAACGATCCGCAGTAATAAGCTATAGAGGTGTCCTGTGATAAGAGAGAAAATTTTGCTAGAGAGGAGACAATATATTATGTATGGTTACTGGTATTACAAAATATTTATATATACTATTCTTCTATATTTTGAGCCCTTAAGTCCAATCAGTATCTGATCGCAAATTCTACAGGAACAGATAAAATACTAAATGTATGATGCACCAGGATCTTGTGGACCATCCAAGGTGTGCCTGTAGACTTCAAAAATCATTTAGGGCAAATGAAGCTACACCTACGTATTTTCTTCACCTTTAGCTAAGGGATTCAGTACCTACATCCTCAACATTTGCCTGCGACTCACAGACACGAGCAGTCTAATGTTAGCTCCTTCGATGCTATGCTGCCACGTGGCATCAAGCCAAGCGCATGTCACTTAGAAGCGCCATGGCGGAAAAGGCGACGTGAATTCCCGTCGACGTTTCTCACTCAGCAAGGTGCGGCGACTGATGGGGAATAATGAGCTCAGATCGCGGCTTGATGCACCAGCAAGCAGGAGGCTCGGAGCTGCCGAGAGGAAAGAGTCAGAACATCGTGAGTGTGAGATTACTCCCTCTCTCATCTCCTTCCAATTCTAGAAGCCATGTGAGAGCAAGATTCGAGATTTCGAGGCGGGTTAGGAGTACGAGGTGCTGCACAGCGAGGCAGATCTTTGTGGAGCTTTTATTTTGGATATTTTCTGTAACCATATCTCGGAGACACTATAATCACTGGCGACCCTGCAGGCACTGGAGGAACTGGAGACACTGCAAACACTGCCTACACCGCTATCCCGGAAACCCACCAGAGGCACACAGGGAGCACACTAGGGAAACACCCCATTCCTCCGTGCAGTGACATCAAACTGGGAGTATAATAGCCATGGCGATACGGAAATCAGCTGCGTCGCTGCTATCTCTCCGCTCTGCACGCGGAGGCCCCTGGTCCCTTGGCACGCTCACAATCGGAGTTGTGGTGGCACGGCATAGCTCCGCTTATCATCTCACCACCACTGGTGGCACATCAGAAGCAGTTCGCAGCAACGTCGCGCGCGGCAGCAGCAATGACGGCATACCCTCTGTCTTCGCCTTGGGAGTTTCCCAAGCCTCCGGTTTCCGCACTTACTTCACCAACCATCCATCCATCCAACCTTACAGAGCCAAGAGCAACATGATTACGCAGGAGTTTCGAGAGAAGGAGCGGGAGCAGGCAGCACTAGCCAAGCAGTATGGGGTTGCAGCAGACGTTGGTTCAGACAGCACTGCTGGTAGGGAGGCCCAGGCTCCTGATAAAGCCGGTGCCGATGCTGATGATAGTGCTGCTGGTGGTTTTGGTTGTGCTGACCACACTGAGAGTTCCCACCAATCCTCGGCAGCCAGGAGGCTCGGGCTCGACCTGCCTCAGTCCGGTGTGGGCCCGACCCAGGAGAATGTGGCTCGTGCAAAGGAGGTTCGGGAGTTTGCGAAGCACCCCCCTGGTGCTGGTGCAGCTGGTGAAGGGGCTAGCCCAGGGGCTGGACTGGGCCCTGGGATAGTGGATGTGGCACATGGTACTAAGGAGGATTCTTAGATACTGATGTTGGGAGAATGTTAATTCGTTAGTTGGCCATTGTAGAAATGCATCCATGTATAGGGAGAGGTGAAATGCAAAGCAGAGCACTGTTTGGAGCTGCATCTGTACAGGTACCCTAGACCAATTTTCAAATAAGGAAATATAACTTGAGACGTTTTATGGTCAGAGCAGTATGCATTGGCAGACAGCTAGCCTTATTACCAATATGTCGTAGAAGAATCGAGGTGTTCATAGCAGAGCAGATTTAGAATTTAGTTCAAATCTGCTCCTAGGTTAAGTCTAAGTATTGATTGAGAAGTCAGAAACCCAAGGCACATCAACAGCAACAAAAACAGGGATATCTCCCCGTTTGCATGTGCCAGGAGGACAAAACATTCCTCCATATTGGTCAGGCGGAGAAGGCGAAGAGGAGGAAGAGGAAGGAGGCGAGTGTGAGGAAGGACTTGATGATGAGAGGGCGGTGCGAGTGTGTGATATCCAACTGCTGCAGCAGCATGCCGTGTGTCTGCTGCATCTGCAGCAGCGACTCTGACAGCCCGTCGTCAATGCTGCATGGAGCGGGATGGGGAGCAGGGAGGTGGAGAGAGTGAGGACATGAGTGATCTCTTTCACAGGGAGAGGGTTCACATCACACTCATGCCTGCTCAGATGCTCAGATGCTCGCACACACATGCATGGGGGCGAGCTTTGAGAAGCAAAACACGCAGAAGCACACTATGTTCTATCTCTCCACCCTCTCCCAAATCCCCAGCCCCATCGTCATCCCCACCCAAACCAACCCCATCCCCACCCTGATAAGAACACAACCCAACCATCACCTTCACTCACCAGATGGCCAGGTCAGCAGCGCCTTCCCCCTTCACATGCGCGCCCTGCGCGCCCCCTTGCTGCGCCACCGTATTCGCCAGGTCCCGGAACACAGCAGTCAGCTCGCCCATACTGCTCTCCACCTGCTGTAGCACCACCGCGTGCTGCTCACTCGCAACCGCTGCCTGCTGAACGCTGCTGCCCGAAGCAGACGTGCAGTACGTCGGTAACAAGCTGTTACCGTTACCGTTAACGTTGCTCTTGCTCGGATTGTAACCGGTGTGGCTGTTGCCGGTGGTGGCTGCGGGGGTGGCTCGCCCGAACGGGTTGTAGACCGGGAGGGTGGAGGAGGGGGAGGATGAGGGGGAGCCGGAGGGGGAGGAGGCGAGGGAGAGGGAGGAGAGGGAGGAGGAGGAGGTGGTGGGAAGGAGCGCGGTGCCGGCTCCTACCACGGGGCGCTTGCTGTGCCAGGCTGTAGCGCTCTGGCCCGTGGCGGCTGTAGCGGAGAAGAGCTGCCGCCGATTCTCGCTCACTTTCAGGGCCTGAGGGAGAGGGAGATGGGGGCGGGTTTGGATAGGAGAGGGCAGAACGAGGGTGAGGGAGGGGAGGAAGGCGCGTGGGACGCATGGCGGGGTGAAGAACAAGGGGGTATTTACCTACGAAACCTGTGAATGAGAACCCAGGAACGTGACTAGGCCTTCCCCTGCCGCATCTCGTGTATCCCTAGGCAGACGTTCCTGGGTCCTCATCAGCATCCTAAGTCTTGAATATCCCTACGCAGACGCCCCGACGCCCGTTTATGCGGAGTACCGAGTGGGCGCAAAAGCTGCACGTACGTCCCGTGTACCAACGCGTGCCAGCGCAACGCGTACTAAAGGGCGATGAGTGCGGGCCAGCGCGACACTACGCACCTCACCGGCTTACCGGCTAATCCGTCAACTACGAGTGCGACTAGAACCAAGTCCGACTAGTACCGAGTGCGACTAGCACCCTGTATTTCGCCTATAAGGAGTCGGGTCCTTTCGCTTTCGACGCGTCAATCCGTGACCTCCCGCGACTCGCCCCGCGCGGACCGTACCGTACCTCTGATCGCGACGCGAGGACGTCTTTAAACTCCTCCCCTGCCTTCGCGAGTCGCTCTCGCAGGCTCTCCACCACCGCCATTCCCAGGTCGATGCGCTGCCGAGTCGCAGCATCCGTTCCCGCCGAGCTCGCCGCGTTTCCCGCCGCCGGTCCCGCCTGCGCTGCGCAAAACGCTTGTAGGCCGGAAATCGCGGCTTCAAGCGCGGAGAGGTCTTGTGAGACGAGCGCCGAAAGATTCTGAATCTCGACCGTTGGATCGTCAAACATGGACGTGCGCTTCGAAACTGGATTGGTTTTCAAGACAAGTATGATTGGGCGCAGAGAAGGAACGGGGAAAGAGGGAGTGGGGCGGGGGGGAAGGGGGGGGGGGGGGGAAGAGGGAACACGATGACGGCGGAGCGGGGAGAAGGGAAGGAGGGTGAGGGGGAGGGGGAGATAGCCGGGTTGGGGGAGCATCGACGGGGGTCGGAAACAGTAAGAGGAGCACAACAGAGTTGGGCCAGTCTCAATACGATCTAACCACACAATCCCCTCCATCACACGCACTCCCTCACACCGCCAATCACGCGCACGCTCGCACGCTAGCACCCATGCACGCAGGGGCGGGCTCACGTTTTGCGAGCTTGTGAAGCTTCTGCATCATCTGATGGATGCTCAGCCCGATCCGCGACGCGCGCCGGCTCAGCTCCGACTGCGGGTGCTGCTGCTGCTGCTGCTGGGCGGAAGCGGAATAAGCGGGTGCCGTCCCCGCGCTAGCGGCGCGTGCGCGGCCCGACGCGGCAGGCGCTGCTGATAGGCCCTGCCCCGGAATGGGTGCGTTGGCGGAAGGAGGTTCGGGGTGCGTTGTTGCTGTTGCTGTTGCTGTTGCGGTTGCGGTTTCGGTTCCGGCTGCGGGTTTTCCGGGCGCCTCGAAGGTTGCGATTGTACCCAGGCGAATCGGGGAGGACGGCCCGCTGCTGCCGCCGGAGCTGCCACGTGGACTGTTATCCGCACCGCGGGGGTTCACCGAGGCGGTTCGCCTGAGAGGCGCTTCTGTACCCGTTACTGGGATGGAGGACGTTGTGCGCTGTAAGGGGTTCTGCTGGGAAGGAATTCCTTGCGCTCTTGTGCCTGGTTGCTGCCCCATGGTCGCCGCCTGTGTGTCCCACGATGCCGCTTTATCAAACCGCTCTATAACGGAGACAAGCTCCGATGTACGGTCGTTGTAGCAAGCAGGCGCGTATATATAGGGCTGTCGGTGGGACGTCGGTGACGGGGAAGTTAACTGGGAAGGCTGCGGTAGGTGACTCAACATGACTGTTGTTGCTGGCGATTAGGAGGAGGTCAAGGTACGACAAGGTAATAGTAGCACGTTGAAAGAGGACTATGACAGTTGAAAGCTGGAGTTTATCGTTTGAAAGAGAATGCGGAAGACGGACTGATGCTGGGCAAAACAGTCGAGCGTAATTGGCGAGGAATTCGATTTTAGAATGACTTGGATGCTAGAGCTTAGAGAAATGATGGACACAACAATAATGGCGGGTGCTTGATGCCACGGGTGGAATGAAGTACAAACTTCGACCCTAAACCACAGGGGTGTGCGATGTGGTTAGGTTCGTTTTGGTTCGGTGAAGAGAATTGATCACACGAAGCAGAGCGAGCTCGTTTAGGGCGGGGAGGGGTAGGCGGAGGGGAAAAGGGGAGGAAAACAGTGAGAGGAGAGCATGGGGTGGGGGAAAATACTGTCTCTGGAAAAAGTGGGGAGAGGGGCAAGCGGGGCGGGGTAGAGAAAGGGGGGTGGGGAATTTGGGGTGAGGGAAATGAAAGGTGTGTGTGCGGGACGGGGAGGAATTGGGGAGTTTGCCCCCATGCTCGCGCCGCGACCTGGATGACTGTAGAGAGGTGGTGGCGGTGGCAGCCAATCGGCGACTAGGTGAAATTTGAGCTTTAGAGGTGGCATTTCGCTTTAGGGTGCTCAGGTTCTTTCGTCATCGTCGCGAACGCTTGACTGCCTCAGCCGACATGTCGGACGAATTCCACCGAAGGCTATGTAACAGCGCGCGGGGGGATCTTTTTTCTGACCAGATCGCGCCACGCGTCGCGGAGCTGAGGGGAGGACGGACAGGGCAGGAACGAGGGGAATAATTGTGTAGGAAAAAGGGGTGGAGGGAAGGGCCTAGCATAATTGTGTGAAAATTCACCGCATAAGGGGGAGGAACACGCAATTGTGTAACGGATTCCTCCTTTCCGCCCATCTCTTCACCTTTGTAGGGGGGCAGGACTTGCGCGAAATGGTGAGCGCGCGATCAGGGACAACAGTGGTTGGTTGGTTGGTTGGTGGCGGATTCCAAAGGTGACCAAACCCAACCGATCTCTGCCACATGGTTCTCCAGAACGCGGGGAGCAGGTTTGGCAGGTTTCAGGTGGCGCGCAATGTTCCAGCACGTAGTCGCAACGACGACCAACAGCCGCATGAACGAAAACTGGAGCGATTGTCCATATCGCAACATTACTGTCGCAGGATGATTTGCGAACAATCTGACACCACATGTAGAGTGTAACCACACACAGCGACGTTGAAATGCGAGATGATTGAGTCGTCCGCCTGACAAAGACTGGTGGTCGCGTCGTCAACCTGACGGTCAGACAGTCCACACGTGATCAACCAGAGGTGGGCGAATCACAGCAGGACAACCCCTGTCATCGCTGAAAAGCACCACACCACACCACAAATCTACGGTGATCGCAGCCGACCCCATCCAGCCCATAATGGCTGGTCGGATAAGATGATACAGTACGTAAGGATACTGAAAAATAACCAGACGGACATTTGGAGAATAATATACATATCTATTCCTCTAAACCTTGAATTGGGCTTGCATAATAAAATGACAACAAACACTCTACCAGGAATGCATCGTACCATATATGCTGCTTACAACAATAAATTTTCATATCCAAAGCTAATGTGTAAATCTGGCAACACTTTCACAAAGCCGACAAGGTAAGGTCCTAATGCCCAGCTCAGTGGCATGCTGGTAATTGCCAGGAAGACCACAGATTCGCCATGCATGGTAGTCCAAATACTCACCTGATGTGGTCCACGTTACACATGAGCATGCAGTCGTAGTATGAGAGAAATAGCGTGGGGGAATGGGGGGGGGGAGGGAGGAAGGGATGAGGAGGGATTGAGGAGGCGGGGGTGCAAGGCAACGCGAATGGAAGAGGGAGGAAAATAAGGGGGACTTGTGTGAACAGATTATGCACGGAAGAGGAACGTGATCAGATAGAGTGGAAGAAGACACTAATAATGGTACATGTTTTTACTGTATCCTTTGTGTTAATGCTCTTCTGCACCCGCGCTCCCCATTTTTGTCGAACTTCCTGTATAAGACAACATTTACAATGACGTAACACTCCCTCGCTGATACGTACTTGTGTTGCTACTGAGCCGCTCGATAAGAGCAGCCAGTTGTGTAAAATCGGAGAAGTCCCTTAAATCGATGAAAGAGTATGGAGGCGCATAGTTAAAGACATCCGGAGCTCCATAATAGATTGGTACAGTGCCTGACACAGTAACAACACCGACATGCATTATCCTACCCGAAACAGAGGAGAGCTGCTGAAGCAGAAATTGAAGGACTGGACCGAAATTCACGATGACAAAAACAAGGTGTAAAAACATAAGGATTACGGCACGGAGCTTTAAGAACAGTGGCAAGTACCGGCTTCTAGAGGAATGAAGAGCTTCTCAGTGACGTATCCAGGGAGTACGGCTCCTTCTATAGCGAGTACAAACTTGTACCGGGACATTACACAGTGCGCACGAGATTGCCACGTATCTGGATCCGATCTGATGCATGGAGAGAGGGAAAGAGGATGGTGGGAGGGAAAGGGAATGGAGGGAGGAAACAGGGTTGGAAGGAGGGAACCGGGATGGAGGGAGGGAATGGGAATGGAAGGAAGGAGAGGGGTCATACCTGCACCCAGGGTGTGCCTTCTGCTCTGTGATTGGCCGCATGTTGTTGCGACAGGCTCCAAAGGAGTGATGACGTGGCAGTGCTGCCAGCACAGAAGACGCCAGGTCATCGCGCCAAGTGGGGGAGCAGTGTGATGCCAGGTGGAGAGTTGGAGTGGACTGGAGCAGGGTGTGTGGAGAGGGAAGAGAAAGGAGATGAATGGGGGAGAAGGGAAAAGGGAGATGAAATGAAGGGGGGAGAAGGGAGGTGAAGGAGGAGAAAGAAGCTGGAAGACAGACAATGAAGTGGGAAGGGAACGAAGGGAGAAGAGGGGAAGGCGAAGGGGCACTCGAGAGGGAAAGCTGAGGGTGACGAACGGAAAACAAAGGGGACGGGAAGGAAGAATGATTGCAGCGCACTGAGAATGTGGCAGTTGGCCGGGAAAGTTTTTGCATGCGCTAAGGTAACCAATGGCCCCATTCTTATGTGAAACGGACCTATCCACATGCATGCAAAATTGCAACTGCAGCACTCAAACACACATTTTGGTAGCGGAGCGCATGTGAGGGCGTGCGTGCGAGATCGCCGTTAATGCCCACATAGGTCAGCTACTCACCTGGGTTTGCCACTCTCCGCACGACTGCATTGTTATTGACTTGACACATCTCAAACCCTTATTTGAAACGCCTCAAACCTCCGCCACTCTCACGCACACACTCACACATGCACCTGCATTTTGGCAGCGGAGCGCATGTGAGGGCGTGTAAGGTCGTCGTTAATGCCCACATAGGTCAGCTGGTTGGGGATGGAAAGGGGGAAGAGCAATGAAAGACATGCACATGGGAAAGGGACAGAGGGGATGAGGAGGAGGAGGCATGAGTAGGAGGGGGAGGAGGAGGAGACCGGAGCGCATGTGAGGGCGTGTAAGGTCGTCGTTAATGCCCACATGGGTCAGCTGGTTGGGGGGGAAAGGGGGAAGATAGCGATGAGAGATGAGGAGGAGGAGGAGGAGGAGGAGGAGGAGGCGTGAAGAGGACAGGCATGGAGAGAAGGCATGAAGAATGGGATGCAGAGTAGAGGTTCTCTGTGTTGAGAAGTGACACGGCAGCACAAGGCACACACACGGTAGCGCATAAAAAAGAAGCAACTCTCACAAGTATTGTTCAAAAGTGTGCAATCAAGAGAGTCGGCACACCATGCTCCCTGCTCACCTGAACGTAACTGTCTCTGTGGTAAGTCATCACCACATCCCCATCACCACATCCCACTCACCACATCCCAATCACCACATCCCAATCACCACATCCCAATCACCACATCCCAATCACCACATCCCAATCACCACATCCCAATCACCACATCCCAATCACCACATCCCAATCACCACATCCCAATCACCACATCCCAATCACCACATCCCAATCACCACATCCCAATCACCACATCCCAATCACCACATCCCAATCACCACATCCCAATCACCACTAGCAGCATCACCACCACGTGCTCCCTGCCCTTGCCAGCACAGCATACTCCCTGCTCACCTGCACGTCACTGTCTCTATGGTAAGAAATCACCACATCCCAATCAGCAGCAGCAGCAGCATCAGCACCGGGGGCACCACCAGCATCACCAGTAGCATCACCAGCAGCAGCATCAGCAGCATCTGTTGCAGCAGCACCAGCATCGGACTCCTCTCCTCGCGTTCCGCCCCTTGCCGCCCCTCTCCCTCGTGCAGGCACCAGCAGGGGTGGAGCTGGGGGCTCCAGGTCAAGAAAAACCTGCACAGGGCGGGACAAGCTGCTGCTTTCCATGGGGCCGTGGCTTATGCTGCTGCCCATGCTTCTGTTACTGCTTGTTGTGGATTTTATACCGCTGGTGTTGGTGCTGGTTATGGTGCTGGCTTCTGCGGTTTCAGTGGTATCAGTGCTGCTGCTGCTGCTATCTCCTGCGTCGCCGCTTGTCTCTCTTGTTTGCCGCCGTCCCAGCCTCTCCTCCTCACCCCTCACAGGCAGACCAGTAGCACTACCAGCAGCAGAAGCAGCAGCGGCAGCACTACCAGCAGCAGAAGCAGCAGCAGCAGCACTACCAGCAGCAGCGGCAGCAGCAGTGCTGGCCTGTGCGCCCCTCACGTGCAGATGGGCATGTGCAGTGGCAGCAGTGACAGGGTCCCATGAGACCTGCACACACACATGGGATGGGAGAGGAGGCACGAGGGACCTTCCCAAGGTGAGTACACGTGTGCGTGCAAGCGCGCGCACGCGTGTGTGTGTGTGTGTGTGTATTTCCGTTTGTCATCTATTTTCACTTTGAAAGGATGGTGGGACATATCGGATATGTGCTGGACGCAAACATTCTGAGAAGCAAACATTCTGAGAAGCAAACATTCTGAGAAGCAAACATTCTGAGAAGCCAACATTCTGAGAAGCAAACATTCTGAGAAGCCAACATTCTGAGAAGCCAACATTCTGAGAAGCCAACATTCTGAGAAGCCAACATTCTGAGAAGCCAACAGGGCACCGAACTTCACAGCTGATGGTGAAGAGTGTGGACAGGAAAGAGAGGAGCAGAGAGGGGCATGGAAGAGAGAGAACAAAGCGGGAAACGAGAGAGCGAAGCGGCAGCGGTTGCAGCAGCACCATCAACAGCACGGACAGAGCAGGAGAGGTTGCAGCTCGGGCAGTGGTGGTGCCCCTGCAGCCCCATGGCAGTGCCGTAGTGCGAGCTGAACCATGCGGGGTGCGCCCTCACATGCACTGCCACGTGCCTCTCGTGTGCGTGCTGGCAGGTGGGGGGTGGGTCCGTCTGGTAGGGGAGGGGGATTGGTGGGATGGGAAGACAGGTTGGTAAAGCAAAGGAGGGAGGGAGAGAGAGAGAGAGAGAGAGACAGAGAGGTGTGAGGAATGGCAGTGCCGTAGTGCGAGCTGAAGGTTGCGGGGTGCGCCCTCACATGCACGGCCACGTGCCTCTCGTGTGCGTGCCGGCAGGTGGGGGGTGGGTCCGTCTGGTAGGAGACAGGGGCGGTATGGAAGGATAGGGGGGTGGGACGGAAGGAAAGGGGGTTGCATTGTTAACAATGAGGATGATAGAAGCGCGGGCGACATGGAAAGGTGACCTGCTAGAATGCTACGGTACAGAACTTCCATGGTTGTGCCAGTGTGCAGGGTAGTGCAGTGCGGTGCAGTGCAGTGCGGTATACAGCAGTGCATTGCGGTGCAGTGCAGTGGCGTCACCTGAAGGGACATATTCACAGAGAAGGCTCGGTTGGAAACAATTCGTCTCTGCTCCCAGTCTTGCTGCTGCCCTTGCTGTTGCCCTTGCTGCTGCTGCTGCTGCTGCTGCTGCTGCTGCTGCTGCTGCTGCTGCCCTTGCTGTTGCCCTTGCTGCTGCTGCTGTTGCCCTTGCTGTTGCCCTTGCTGCTGCTGCTGTTGCCCTTGCTGCTGCTGCTGTTGCCCTTGCTGTTGCCCTTGCTGCTGCCACAGCTGCGGCCCTTGTCTCTCTTGCTGTCGCAGTGATAGCTGCTCCCACAGCTCATCCCACATGCCATGCTCACTAAGCCCATACATACGCATACTCTGCCTGCCCCCATCCTTTCTGTCACCGCCACCAGCGCCACCACCACCACTCCCCCCACCAACATTCCCCCCACCTTCATCCTTAACAAACGCTGCAACAGCAGAAGCAGCAGCAGCAGCACCAGCAGCAGCATCAGCAGCAGCAGTAGGGCTCCTGGTTTGAGTGTGAGGGTTGGAGGAGAAGTGAGCGAGGAGAGAGAGCAGCAGCGGACGCAGGTCAGGGCCGGAAGCAGCAGGGACTGGTGTAGCATCCTGCGAACCGGAAATTCCTGCGTCGCTGCTGCCGCTGTCGCTGCTACTGCCGCCGCCGCCGCCGCTGCTGCTGCTGCTGTCAACACTGCTGGTACCGGCACCACTGTTGCTGCTGCCACTGGCGCCGGTGTGTGCATGGGCGTGCGGTGAGAGCGGAAGGTCAATGCGCAGGTCACGGGCCATGCGATGCACCAGACGCATGCAGCCGCCCTGCTGCACCCACTGGCTGGCTGGACGGAACAAGTGAGGGAGAGTGGGGGAGAGGGAGTGGGGGAGTGGGAGAAGGGGGAGTGAGATGAGCGAGTGAGGGGGTGAGGGAGGGAGAGAGGGAATGGGTAAGCTGCTGCCACTGGCGCCGGTGTGTGCATGGACGTGCGGTGAAAGCGGGAGGTCAATGCGCAGGTCAAGTGCCATGCGATGCACCAGACGCATGCAACCACCCCGCTGCACCCACTGGCTGGCTGGACGGAACGAGTGAGGGAGAGTGGGGGAGAGTGAAGGGGAGGGAGAGAGGAGAAAGTGAGGGAGTTGGGAGAAGGGAGAGTGAGATGAGTCAGTGAGGGAGTGTTAAAGTAAGCAAGGAGGGAGGGAGTGGGTAAGCAAGGGCTAGCGAGAATGGGTAAGGGAGCAAAGTACAGAAGTATGGCAATGATTCATTTGACCAGCTGAAAAGACATCAGAGCGAGCAGGAGAGGGCATTATCGCCCGTTCACCAACATCGTTCAAGGCCTCTTTTCCTCCTTCCCCTTCCCTTTCCGCCGTCTCCCCCCTCCTCGCTCTCCTCTTCCCTTCCCAACCCACCTTCCGCCCCTCTTTTCCTCTCTACCACTTTGTTCCCTCTCCCCTTTCGGCCCCTCAGACTCTTTTTCCTCACTCGATTTCAGAGGGCATGTGCAGTGCGCCTCCCCCCCACATGTCCTCGTGAATCCGCCGCACGTAAGGGCTCTCCAAGAACGGCCGATCCACTTCCTCCGCACTCAACGCTCCGTGCATCGCGCCGTCCGTTCCGCCGTATAATGCGCCGTATTTCCCGCCGTGAATCCCGCCGCCAGTTTCGCGCGAAGATTGGTCACCGATCCCTCCCGATTCGCTACCGAACCACGCAATCATATCTCGAGCTCGCGTGAGAGGCGACGCGGAGAACAGCAACGCGAGGAGGGAGAGACACGTGGCAGCAGCTCCAATCGCCAGCCAGGGAAGCAAACGGATCATCCTTCTCGACGACGCGGATCCTGCTGACGTGGCAGGAATATCTCCCGCGACGCGGGTCGTGGCATCGGAGACGATCGCGCGAATGGCGGACGGACGTAGTTCTGAGGCTGTCCGACGTGGCGTCGACATGGTTTGCCTGCTGCTAGAGATCAACTATCACTCCGTACTTCACGGAGCAGCTATTACATGGAACACCAGTCCCTTTTATTCAGCAAAACGTCGAGTACACCCTTGCTTTCCCACCATAGGTCCTTATTTTAGGAGTCCACTCAAAACGTCACGTAAGCTCTGAAGAATTCTATCTGCCTCATACCCGCTAAAAGACCCTTCGTTTTTACAACCCACTCTTTTTTTGATTATATGAAAATATACACCGAAATGGGCAAGCATATACCATCATAACGGTCGTAACCGCGCGTGAGGAACAGAGGGTGAGCTGCTGTTCCAGATAGGATATCTAAGGGCGGGAAATGCTTGCCCTCTTCCTGGACCAGAGTGCGGCAAAACGCACTTGTCCACTTCCAACTCTTGCCAACCAACTTGATCTTTCCCAGCATGTTCTGCTCCTCCGCAAAATTCCTCCGATTCCGTTTGTGACGAACCGTGCCGAATTTGCGGGTGTAGATTCGTGCATGTTGCCTGAAAGCGAACTCAATCTTGTGGAGCACTCGCTTCTTGCGAAATTTCTGACCGCGGAAAAACAGCTTCGCACCTTTCAACCAACAGCTGATGGAATGCGATGGATGTGAGGGTCAGCTCTGGAAATGCTGAGCTGGACCCCGTTTTCCGGAACAGTAGGTCTCCTAACGTGTCTGTCGGACGGTTGGGATTGAGCATGCGCAAAGCGCGCCTGAGGGCCGAGGCGATCGTCTGGATCCGAGAGCAGAAAAGGAGGCAGTGGTCCAAAGTCTCCTCTTCCCCGCAGTAAGGACAGGTGGGTTTCCCGCTGAGAAATGCAAGTCTCTCCCCCACTTGCAAATTCAGGCCGTGGATGCGGATGAGTACGTCACGTGGACGACTGGGAATTGCCAATGAGTCACGTGTCGATACCACCCGCTTCCAATTGATTTGTCTCCCCCACCTTCTTGCCCACTTCTCCCGCTTGCGCGACTCCTGGTATGCCCCTTTCCAGCACTCCCTCATCCTCCTGAGGGGAATCACCTCCCCTCCCTCCAGAATGTTCAACGGGGGGATGGAGTCAGCCGAGCATGGAGGGACAGAGGAAAACCCCAGCAACTGCAGCCAGGACGCTGGCAAAGTAGTCAGTGCTTTCACCGCCAATCTAGCTGGGCCACTTCCGCCCAACTGCCGTGACAACTCCCTCTGTTGCTTTAACATTAACTCGCCGTTACCGTCCGCTTCCAGCAGCTCTCCGACCCGCACTTCCCAGAGTCCCATGCTATCTTTCTGCCCTCCGATGGGCGTTTGAAGCAAGGACGCCTTGTTAAAAACCAGCCGCTCCTTCAATATTGCTTCTCTGCTGCCCGCCGCTGGCCGGACGCAGAAAGGGGAGGTAGCGAAACTCTCGCACGTCTGCCTCCATCTCATGCTCCTCCCTTTCCAATGTTTCAACAGGTTCACGTGCGAAGAGAAGGTAACCTCGCCCAAGGGTAGGTCAGCCGCCTGCACCATGATCGCCCTCTTCATGGGGTTACGCTCCGTAAGATAGAGGCCCACCCTTCTGGCTGCAAGGCAGGTGATCACGACCTCCGGGTACTTCACGCCGATTCCGCCCGCTTCCCTTGGGGTATATAGCAACGTTCTGCTCCAGAGTATGAACCCTTTCACCGTCGACACGCGGTTGCCCGACGTGAAACTCTGCAGCAGCCTAATAATCTCCTCCCATATCTCTGATGGAGGCGGATAAATCTGTGCTTGGAAGGCCATCAGCGGGGTGATGTAACTGTTGACCACTGTAGCATGTGCCGTTATCGTGAGATACTTCAACTGCCACTTCGTTAATTTCTCCAGTATGTGCCCCCATGCTTTCTCCCAGGTTGGCAGGCCGCTACCGGACGGCGTCACCCAGACACCCAACAAGCGCTCCGCTTCATCCGCACCGGCCCATTTGAATCCGCTCGAGCCGTCACCCTTCGCGCCCAGGTTCGCGCCGAGAGGTAAGAGAACCGACTTCGACTTGTTGGTTGCCAAGCCGGACGCCTTTTCGAACCGATCCAGCACCTCCTCCGCTTTAACAATTTGCTCTTCTCCTTGCAGGGCCAACGTCGTGTCGTCGGCATAGCCAAGATAATTGAAGCGCAGACCCTGTTTGGTCAGGCCGAGCTCCTGCCTTTCCACCTCCCGCGCCAATGGCTCTACTGCACAGAGGAAGAGGTAAGGCGCCAGCGGACAGCCTTGCCGCACCCCCGATGCCACTTCCACGCCTTTACCCAACCAGCCGTTGACTAACAGCTTCGTTGAAGTGTTGTCATGCAGGCCTTTGATCCAACCAATAAAGCGCTCCGGGAATCCCATCCGAGACAGTACTTCGAACAAGAAATCCCTCGACACCGAGTCGAAGGCTTTCTGAAAGTCCACCAATAGAAGATACCAGTCCTCGTTACCGTTTTTTGCAGCATCAATCACATCGGCCACTAGCGCCACCGCATCCGAGAGGCGCCGACCCGGGATGAAACCATACTGTTCCGGGGAGATGACTAGATGAAGCACCGACTTCATCTTGTCCGCCACCACCCTCGCCAAGACCTTGTAAGTGAAGTTAAGCAGAGAAATCTCGCGATAGTTGTTGAGCTCATCTCTCTCCCCTTTCTTGTGCAGCAATATGGTAACCGCTTCTTTTGTTGCTGATGGCAGAGTGGCTGACGCCTCGAAGCTCCTCACCATGGCCATAAAACTCTCCCCCAACAGATCCCAGTGAGCTTCAAATAGTTCTTTCGGCAACCCGTCACCGCCAGGTGATTTATTTCTTGCCATCGCCGCAAACGCCTTTTTGACTTCATGCTCAGACCAGTCCGCCGATAGGATCTCTGCTACTGCGCCATCCAACCGCTGAAGCGAGGTGAGGTTCCAGTCCGAGAAATTAGTGCGTCGATCTTTGCCGAAGATGTTCCGGAAAAAAGCGGAGGCTGCACCCAAGATCTGCTGCGAGCTGGACACCCGTCCTGTACCAACTTTAAGCTCCTTGATCTGAGTGCGCGCCTTCCGCGCGCACACCTTCGCCGACAAATGCTTCGAGGCCAGTTCTCCCGTAAGTTCCGCCGTAAGACCAGCCTGAAGGTATAGTCGCTCAGTCCGTGAAGTGTCATGCTCTTTCAGCTTCGTCTCCTTTGCCTCCAGTAGTGCTCTCGTGACTGAGCAGTCCGGGTTCCGCATCATTTCCTGCTTCAACAGCCCCACCGTGGTAGTCAGATGCAGGAGCGTTTTTTTAACACGTTTGCTCTCCTCCTTTGCATAGGTTCTGAGCCCAACACCCAGTCTCTTCAGGAGCTGCAGCCATCATTCACCGGGGTACGCCGCACCGTTGCCTCAATGATTTTCCGAGCACCTGGACGATGGATCATTGAAGCGTGTAATCGCCATAAGCCAGGACCTCTGCAATGCTCCTCATCAAGACGGAGAGCAACTGAGATCGCATAGCCGTGGTCAGAGATAGGATCTTCAGGCATGATGTGTGCCGAGTAAGAAAGGTAAGGTATCAGGGATTGGGAGATTAAGGCTCTATCAATGCGGGTGCTGACTCTATGGCTTTTTGCGAAGAACGTATACTCTCTACAGCCTGGGTGGAGGATTGTGAAGGCATCTGACGGCTGGTAGGCTGCACAGCGGCAGAAGAAACGCTCGTTCTCTATGGCTTTACTGTGTCCTCTCGAGTTGTCTAGCATCGGGTTCTCTATTATGTTCAGGTCACCGATCAGCAGAAGGTGGTCCGAGGGTGAGATCTGGTCAAGTAGGGGACCGAAGGAGTCTATGAAAAAGGCGGATCTAGCTTGGATGCTGGATGGAAAATAGACGGCAAGAAGAACTAAGTCAAGACCGAGACCTCTGACCGTGGTTTGCACTATTCTACCAGACGGGTGAGCTATAGAGTTGTGAAACGTGATGGCAGGATTGCGGCTGAGGACGGCTACACCTCCAGCGCTGGTCCTAGGTGCAGTGGCTATGAAGGATGTGGCTGAGAGGGAAGTCCAGTACGGGTGATCTGGGGCTAGTCTAGTGTCAACTAAAACTGCTATGTCTGAGCCTTTCATGAACCATGTCCTAACTCTGAGCTGCTTTGTGCTGTTGCCTAAACCGTTTACGTTCAGGCTGGAGAGGTTGAGATGGCTTTTAATATTCATGGGTCCACCGGCTTGCAGCCCCTGATCATCCACAGGCTGATAAAAGAGACGGTACAAGCGACGCTAACTCCTAAACTCCAACAGGCTGCTGCAACCAGGTAACGATATAACTCCGTCATAGGCCGTACTATTTGCGGATGACATCTAGGTTCAACTTGTCGAGTGACTCCTTTGTTGCAGAGCCGGCCTTCGCCAACTCTAGCAGGTGAGCAGCTGCAGAGATGTGGTCTGCCGCCGCCATGAGGCTTTTCCCCTTCGCCTTCCCGCAGCCCATTTGCGTGCAGATCCAATCCTCCCTGCTGCTGCCGGTGGAGACGAGAGCAATAGCCGGATCGCGGAGGATGGGAAGGAAGAGCGATGACGCTTTCAGCAACGCAGCTGCGGAGATCCGAGGACATGTTAGTTCATGAGAGAGAAAGGCGAAGCGGAAAGCGAATGTAAAGCTGACTGCTGCTTTTACCGTTGAGCCTATGCACTTTGCCCAGGGTGAGGTTCCATTTACTGACATTATTCTGATGCTCAGTGATAAAAGCATCATGATACTTATCATAATGCTTGCCGCCACAGAGCGAACAGGATAAGGACGGATAATGGACCAGAAGCTTCTTCGCCCGGTCAGCAGGGTCAGCGATCGTGTGGATCCAGCGACGGTTCTGGCTCCCCGGGTGAGCATAGACCAGTCCCTTCACCACATCCGTGTCTGCACCAGTGATGGGGTGAAGCACGCGATGCAGGCATGTACACCGCAGAAATGCCGAACGCTTCGTACTTGTGAGCAGGTAAGTAGCCATGCAGTCATGGATCAGGGACAGCTCGACAGCAGCAGAAACCCCAGTGATCATGAACTCGATAGCCTGCGGGTTCAATGCCTTCTCGCTAGCGTAGGACGAGTCTTCAATATGTTGCCAGTGTAGCGTAATGAGTTGAGTATGATTCTTGAGCGGCTGATAAATGACTTCCTTCTTCCGCACCCATTCCGCGTCTGAATCCTTGACGAATGATACTTGCAGGCGACAGAAGCGCGTCTTGGCAATGTAAGCCGCGTGGAGTTCCTGAAACTTGGTTGTTGTCGCAGCGTCAGCTGATAACTCTGCGTACCATCCGTGTTTTATCAGTGCCGTGACAGCATCAATCACACAAGAAATTTCCTTATGCAACATGAAAGGGTATGCAACATGAAAGGGATCAACAAGATGGCGACCGAGCGCAAACCAGAGCCGGCTTCCTTAACCAGATCGATCAACATCTCATCGTCCGAGTCATCGTCGATGAAATCATCCGCATCAGTGAGTCCAAACGAGGGAAGAGTAGCCTTGTCAGCAGCAGATAATCCAGATCCGCCAGCAGCTGATGAAGCAGGCTTGTCCTTGTCATTGGATGCAGGAGCTTGAAGTCCAGTGGAGCTGTCCACTCCCGTGGAAGCAGGCGGGTCCAGCGCGGGACGAGAGCGCTGACCCTTAGGCAGAACGAAGGCATCCGCCGGGTGAGCCATTGTGCAATGATGAAAAGAAGCAGGCAGCAGGAGAGCGTGCCGATCACTCTCGAAGACTGTGAATGATGCCTGATGACTGAGCACAGAAGCTCTAAGTAACAACCCAGCCTTGTCTGGTTTCCATATTTCGAGCAAATGGTGATGAAACCTCGAGGTCGCCACCTTGGAAGTGTCATTCTTGAAAATAGAATAGTTGTAATAGCAGATCTTGTAAAATGTAAAACCACAGATGCCTTTGTGCGAGCCTTTGTCAAAGGCGAAGCCTGGCAATGCCTGACGAGTTCCGTGTGATGTCGCCTGGTAACTGGAGAAACCTAGGTCAGCAGAAATGACTGGTATTCCATTGTTTAAGTTACAGGCGATGCTTTTAACAACAACGGAAGCTAACGTTTGGCATGATAGCGAGGATGTTGACCATTGTTGACTCGGCAGAATCCATGGCCGCCGAAGGGCGGAGAAGGCGGAGAGCATTCCCGACGAACCGAAGATAAGTGACAGCCCGTGTTACGCGATTGGTGGGGCGAGCAAAGCGTGTAGTTTGGGCGAAATGACGCGATAGGGTAACAAGTGGGCGAGAAGGACGAGCGCTTGCGAAGAGAGATGAACAAAGTTTACGCGGTATGCATGTGGACGCGAGAAAAGGAAAGGAAGCTCTTTTTTTTGCTGGGTAAGTATGCCAATGGTAACAAAAAAGGGGCTCTTTAACGCGTACAGTAACTATTACGGTATGTTTTCACGCGTTTGGTAACTCGTTTCACGCATTTGGTAACTTGGCACAGGCGAATGATCACGCGAATGGTAACTCAATGAAACTCCCACCAAAATGATCCTGACTACGCACAGTTTTATCTTTCTGGAACAATTCCCGCCGTGACTTTGAAGGATCGCGTTTGTTCTATTACCACGGACCAAATACTTTCAGAGCCGTTTCATATCTATTTTAAGCTCGGACAAATATTACTAGCACATAAAATAATATTCTTGCTAGCATGATTGCATATTTGAAGAATGATGAAAATTTCCCGGAAAGGCGACGAAATTTTATTTAAAAATAAATAAATCAATTAAATTATTGGAGCGTGGGATAATTTTCATGTTTGAAAATAATACACCCCTTTCGAATAGCACGCCTTTTTTTAAGAAATAAACCCTAAATGTCTTATCTTTAGGAGTTCAGGGTTGATGCTCTCAAAATCCTTTTGTTAAAACGGTAACTAGCTAAGCTTAGGAGCCATAGCTAGGTTACGAGAGAAGGGAGAGGCACGTGAGCGAGAGTAACGCAAATGAGGGGTGTCAGAATACTAAGCGAGAATGAATGCACTAGAAACAAGGTGGGTGGGTACAAGTACTAACCCTAATTGGTTTGTACCCCATATGGGCTACCCCACTATAGCCTACACAATGCACAACAAAATAGTTTGACACACCCCCATAGGCAAAGTGGGGGAGAACAAGGGGTCACAAGACCAGTCAAGAAAAGCAAAGCAAGCTCAGGGTGGATCACGAAGTCACCACACACTCTGAGCACAAGCAAATGGCCACAAGGCCAGTTACCATGCAGAGTTATATAAAGGAGAACAAGCAGTACAATGATCACAACATAGCAAGTATAAGCATGCAGGTATATGCATATAGATCACAGTACAAGCAAGGTCAAGAAGTGAGCAAGTGAGACCAAGTAGGCACAAGGCCTAAAACAGTACAAAAACGCTGATGATCACAAGGCTGAAGTGCCTTGGTGAATATATCAGCAGTGTTGGCCCGCGAGGCCACGTAAGCAAGACGAAGCTGACCACGCTGCTGCAACTCTCGAGCAAGGAAGTAACGCAGAGCGATGTGCTTCGTCCTGTGCTCCAGTCTATGCTCCTGACACAAGGCAATCATGGCCTTGTTGTCGACGTACAGAACTGGAGGAGAACGAGGCAGCTCTCCCAAGTCGGTCAGCAGGTAGGTGAGCCAGCGTAACTCCTGTGCAGCCATGGCCCCTGCGTAGATCTCAGCCTCACAACTGGAACTGAGAACAGAAGACGAGCGGGTAGACCGCCAAGAAACAGAGCCGGAGCCAAGGCTGAAAGTGTAACCTTGTGACGATCGCTGCGTAGCCAAGTCGTCAACCCAAGAAGCGTCTGCGTGTCCAGTGAGGACAACTCGACCCCGTCCTCCAAGCACGAGCCCCATCCCCGACGTACTGCACAAGTAGCGCAATACCCTCTTAGCGGCCTCCCAGTGCTCTGGTCGATGTCTCCCGGGCGCAACGTAGCGTGCCAGGATGCTAAGAGGGTAGGCAAGGTCAGGTCGAGTGCAGGTCATCAGGTACATGAGGCAGCCCACAAGCTCTGGATACGGGCCACTCGGCTCTACGGACTCGTCCGAAGGTGGAGCTGAGAGCGAGTGACCGGTAGGCAGAGTAGTGGATTGTGGCGAGGAGTACTGGAAGCGGAAGCGCTGAAGGACCTGCTGCACCATGTGTGACTGAGTCAAGGTAATGGTGCGCCGTGCTCTGTCCCGGGTGATCTGCAAGCCAAGATAGCTGCCCACCCAGGTCTGTGCACGTGTGTCTCTTCTGCAGCTCCGACTTCACTAGGGCCAGTCCCTCAGTGTCAGCAGTGGCAAAGACCAAGTCGTCGATGTACACGAGGATGTAGAACGGCGGCAGCGAAGTGTCGGTGCGTAGAAACACCGACGGGTCAGCAGTCGAAGGAGCAAACCCAAGAGCCGCAAGAGTCGTCCTCAGTGTGTCGTGCCACTCGCGAGGCGCCTGGCGGAGACCGTAGACTGGCCGCCGGAGGCTCCACTGGGTACCTGCAGGAAACGACCCAGTGAAGCCAGGTGGGCGGCGCAGCCAGATCTCCTCGTGTAGACTACCCTGTAAGAACGTTGTGCTGAAGTTAAGAGAGTGAAGCACGTAGTCACGCTGAGCGGCGACGTGCATCAGCACCTGAAGAGTGGTCATCTTCGGGGTAGGGGAGAAGGTATGGAAGAAGTCAACTCCCTGTCGCTGACTGAAGCCTCGTGCAACGTAACGCGCCTTGAAGACAGGCGGAGAACACGGCGGCCGCTTCACCCTGAAAATCCACATGCCATCGACTATGTTCGCCCCAGGAGGGGGAACCTCGTCGACGTAAGTACCTGTGGACTTCCAGGATGCCATCTCTGCGTCCATGGTTGTCTGCCACTGAGAGGAGTAGGGACCCTCTATCGCCTCTGCGTAAGAGCGCGGGGTCGGGATGTCTGGTGCATCCGGGTCTCCCTCAGGTGCAATCACCATGGACACGAGATGAGGTGCAGCAGCTGCAAAACACTCAAAGTCCTCCTGCCTGTCCTCAAGGACGTCCGTGCCAAGAGCACACTCACCCCCGACGGACGAAGGACAGGCAGACTCAGACTCAGTAACAAGACTAGCGGCGTAGTCGAGACGACAGGCGGCAGCAAAGTCAACAAGCTCAGCAACTAGGGCAGACGCAGCAGTGGACTCAAACGAAGGGTCAGTGACAACAGTGGCTAGAAGACGTGTGACAGTAGGACTAGCAGCACGAGCAAGGTCGGACGGCGGGTCAGGAACGCCAGGAAGAGAGGACGCATGAGGAGATGGCAGAGGGACACGCTGTGGTACAGAGGAAGGACGAAGTGTCATATGGTGCATGCCGGGAACAGAAGGAGGACGCCGACGAGGAACACGACGACCAGTGCGAACAGCGCGAACAGGCGACGCAGGACGAGACGCGGGCTCACGTCGCTCTGAAGGAGAGAATGTCTGCTCAGTGTAAGGAGAAGGAGCAGGCAGTGGGGAGTCTGGCTGTAACTGCGGCTGCGACTGGTCAGGCGGTGGACAAAGTAAGGGAGGAGTAAGGCCAGTAGAAGACGGGAGACCAAGAACCTGCTGAAGCAGTGGAACGAAGTACGGTCGCGGCCGCACAGTGCCTCCAGAACCAGCACCGACAGTACCAGCACCCCCAGGGCCAGCACCTCCAGCTCCAGGGTCTCCAGCTCCAACGCCTGCAGCACCACCAGCTCCAGCAGCTCCAGTACCTCCAGTACGAGCACCGCCGGGACCAACGGCTCCAGCACCTCCAGCAGCTCCAGGACCAGCAGCTCCAGCAACTCCACTACCTCCAGCTACAGTGCCTCCAGCTCCAACGCCTGCAGCACCTCAAGCTCCAGCAGCTCCAGTACGAGCAGGGACCAGCGGCTCCAGCACCTCCAGCACCTCCGGTACCTCCAGCTCCAGCGCCTACAGCTCCAGGGTCTCCAGCTCCAGTGCCTGCAGTACTACCGCCTCCAGCAGCTCCAGTACCTCCAGTACGAGCACCTCCGGGACCAGCAGCTCCAGCACCTCCAGGACCAGCAGCTCCAGTGCCTCCAGCACCAGGGCCTCCAGCGGCAGGCCCCCCAGCTCCAGCAGCGCCACTCTGAAGGCTCCAGCGCCGAGCAAACCACTCGCGCAGCTGCGGTGGAGAGAGAGGCTCCTGCCGTGACGAGGCACCTGTAGGACCTCCAGCAGACAAAGGACCTCCAGGCTCAGCAACTCCGCTACCTCTTGCTCCAGCGCCTCCAGCTCCAACGCCTACAGCACCTCCAGCTCCAGCAGCTCCAGTACCTCCAGTACGAGCACCTCTGGGACCAGCGGCTCCAGCACCTCCAGCACCTCCAGGACCAGCAGCTCCAGTGCCTCCAGCACCATGGCCTCCAGCAGCAGGCCCCCCAGCTCCAGCAGCGCCACTCTGAAGGCTCCAGCGCCGAGCAAACCCCTCGCGCAGCTGCGGTGGAGAGAGAGGCTCCCGCCGTGACGAGGCACCTGTGGGACCTCCAGCAGACAAAGGACCTCCAGGCTCAGCACGCTCAGGCTCAGCACCCCCAGGCTCAGCACCCCCAGGCTCCGCACCCCCAAGCTCCGCACGCTCAGGCTCAGCACCCCCAGGCTCCGCACCCTCAGACTCAGCAACCCCAGGCTCAGCACCCCCAGGCTCCGCACGCTCAGGCTAAGCACCCCCAGACGCAGC